GCGAGGGGACCGCGGCGGGGTGCGCGCGATCCTATTGTGTGGGCGTGCGCGCCGGCTTGTGCTGTGTTGTGTGTGCGCGGGCGGGGCTTTGTGTGCAGTCCCGCTCTGGGGAGCCCGGCAGCTGCCCCGATTGGGCGTAGCTGGAGAGGAGAGAGTGTGTGTGTGTGTGTGTGTGTTGTGTAGGGGAGGAGGAGGGGAGGAAAGAGGAGAGAACGCTTCTCTCATCCCATCATCCCAAACACCGGGCGCTCAGGGCTGCGATAGCCTCCTCAGGGCCTCTTCGGGATCTCTTGTGTGCACCGCATGCCTCAGTTTCCCTTCCTGGATTGCTGGGCGGCTGGTATCGCCGCTTCCTTCCATTCCTCCCTAGGACTGTGGTGTGGGCAAAGAGGGATGAAGCAGGGCCAGACCTGGGAATTATTAATCTATCGCACTGATTCTGGGAGCAGAACATTTATTTAAATCGTCTGCTCACTCGCATTCGCCCTACAGTGGACGCCCTGATGGGCGAGGTGCCCTGGGAGAGGACCCGGGCTTCACTTGCTGGCCCTCTGAACCTGGCATCGCCATAGTGTGTGCATCCTGAGGTCCCCAGGAGCAGTGTGCTGTTCCCAGGAACTTTCCTGCTGTTTTGGGCATGCACCCTTTCTCTGCCCCATATGCTGGCCACAGCTGTCAGCTGCCCCTCCTGGGGTCAGCAGGCCCTTGGCCCCCTGATGTTTATTTGTGAGCAGCTGATGCCCAGAAAAGTGGGTGAGAGGGCCCAGTGAACTTTCTTCAGCAGAAACTGGCTTGCCTGACGTTTGTGCCATCCACGTGTCTAATTAATGCCTGATTTTCCTGAATGCTGACTACTTGCTATGAAGGTGTCTTTGGTGGTGTGTTTACTGGGAAAGTTGAGGCTCCCTTAATTCTGAACTTCCACCTCCCTGCCAGGTGTGCACTTGGAAAGAGAAATCCTCCTTCCTTGAAGTCCCTGGTCCTAACCATCTTCAGAATCCACTGGGCAGCCTTCCCCCACTCTCAGGCCTATGACATCATCCCCACGCCTTGGAGACTCCCGCTTAGATGTCTGTGGGTTTGCTGTGGCTTCCAGTGAGGATGGAATGCTGGTGGCTGCTGTGGATTTTTAACCAGGTCTGGGTCAGAGAACCCTGTTGCTCCTAAACTATTGGGCCAAGCCAGGGAGAGAGTTCCAAGGGGGCGCTGGCAGTCACAGGTAGGCATGAATGAGTATTCGGAGGCTGTTAGGACAGGCAGATTTCCAGGACACCTGGGACACAAAGACTTGCCCAGATTCATGTTCTCAATTTGCATACCTGCGTGTATCCCCTGATAACACCCAAGTAGGGCAGTCTGGAAGCCAGGTCTTGTGGGTGTCCTCAGAGAGCTGCTTGTGGCCCAGTAGAAACTGTTATTTATTGCATCTTCCAGTTGGTACTGGGTCGCTTTAGTTGAGTCTCCATCTCTGTAAAAATAGCTGTAAGGTTAATTTTGTCTTTCTCTGGTCAGCACTGGTTATTTAATATGTGTGTGTACATATAAAATAGGGCTAAAATAAGTAAAATAGTCGTGGGGGCTGACACAGGTGGTGGTTTTCTGTTATCTGTGGTCATCGAGCTTGTGTGGCTTTGACTCACCTTTTACCATTATTTGCTGGTTTAGAAACCTCTAGGTAGGTTAGGGTGTGTGCATTTTTCGTGTTACATTAAGCATCGTTTTTTTTAACAGGGATTCCACTTTTACCTGAAGTGTTACCAGAAACAGGGCTGGTCAGTGTTCCTAATGCCGGCTGGGTGCACCTGAGCTCCAGTGTGAGGTTCACAGGGAGCCCGAGACCCTATGCCTCTACCCCTATGTCCTA